CCATCTGGGAGATGGTCATGCTGGAGACTCAGACTTGTGGGGGGAGGGGAGGAAATGGGCATTTATTGAAACCTTAAAATCTGTACCCCCATAATATGCTGAAATAAAAAAAAAAAAAAAAAGTTAAACAAAGAGTTACCATATGACCCAACAATTAAACTCTTCAGTACACACATAAGAGAACCAAAAACATACATATGTTCACACAAAACCTTGTACACAAATGTTCATAGCAGCATTATTTATAATAGCCCCAAATTGGAACAACTTATGAATGGATAAACAAAATGTGGTAAATCGTAACAATGGGATATTACTCAGCCATAGGAAAGAATGAAGTTTTAATTGAATGCTCTGATGTTTTTGAAAAAAGGGATGAAGTACTGATACATGATACAATATGAATAAACCTTGAAAACATATTAAGTGAAAAAGCCAGACACAAAAGGTCACATATTATATGATTCCTTTTATAAGAAATGTCCACAATAGGCAAATCCATAGATACGGAAAGCAGATTAGTGACTGCCAGCAGACGGGGCAGAGGCAATAGAAAATAACAGCGAATGGGTACATGGTTTCTTTTTAGGACTATGAAAATGTTCTGGAATTAAACAGTGATAAGGGAGGTGGTTGCACACCTTGGTAATATAATTAAAAAAACATTCAACTGTACACTTTAAAAGGATAAATTTTATGGTATGTGAATTATATCTCAATTTTTAAAAACTAAGGGTGGGAAGGTCTGTAAGAATGTACTCCAAAATCTTAACAGTAATTCTCCTTTGGGAGGGAGATAAAATTAGGCGGTAGAAAATGGCAGAGATTAAGGGAGACTTTTGATTTTTACTTGGTATGCTTTCAATTTGTTTATTTTAAGCCTATAATTTTTAATACAAAAAATAAAGAATATAGAAATATTTAGCAAAATTTGAGAGTTAAAGAGAAATGTTCTAAATCTAAAAGATATAGAAGGAACAAGTATGATGTACAGGAAGGATTTTCAATTTACAAAATTTTGGTTTTAGCAGTGGAACTATTTTGAAAAAGGAAATCTAAAAATGTGCAATACATAAGATATACAAGTAGAGTTACTTTGGTTGAAAGGAAATGAGGTATGTGTGAAGCCCACCCATTTTATCCTTTCTCCAACAGTACCTCAAAGTATCCAATTACATAAACCTAGAAATATTTTACAGAAAATCAGTTGGCTGCTTAAAAACCAATTAAAGCCAGGAAAGGTGGCTCACACCTGTAATCCTAGCACTTTCGGAGGCCGAGCCGGGAGGATCATGTGAAGCCAGAAGTTGTAGACCAGCCTGAGCAACAGTAAGACCCCTATCTCTATAAAAAATAGAAAAATTAGCTGGGCATTGTGGTGTGGGCTTCTAGTCCCAGCTACTCAGGAGACTGAGGCAGGAGGATTGCTTGAGCCCAGGACTTGGAGGCTGCAGTGAGCTATGATGATGCCACTGCACTCTACCTGGGGCAACAGAGCAAGACTCTGGCTCAAAAAACAAAAGGAAAGAAAAAAAAAAAATTAAAAAACATTTTATCTGCTCTAATTTTATGGCATTTTCTTTCTACCATTTTCATAGCAATTAACTGTATCTGATAACATTTTCCCTGGTGTTATTTAACAATTTTTTGCTAATAACTCCTTATATGTTGGCTGGGTGCGGTGGCTCATGCCTATAATCCTAGCACTCTGGGAGGCTGAGGCGGGCGGATAGCTCAAGGTCAGGAGTTCGAAACCAGCCTGAGCAAGAACGAGACCCAGTCTCTACTAAAACATAGAAAAAAATTAATTGGCCAACTAAAAATATATAGAAAAATTAGCTGGGCATGGTGGCGCATGCCTGTGTCTCCAGCTACTTGGGAGGCTGAGGCAGGAGGATCTCCTGAGCTCAAGAGTTTGAGGTTGCTGTGAGCTAAGGCTAATGTGACGGCAC